AGATGAGATTGGCACATTCCAAGTAGGAACTGCATTTCTAAACTCATTAGAAGTGATTCTAGATAAGTTGTATGTATTGAATCGAATCGCCTATAACGTTCCTTCCCTTACTGCAGCTGGACGCAAGGTATAGTACAGTACATACACTAAGTTCATATTTAGTATAACCCAGGTGACTATTGGAGAGAACGCCGCCTGAGCCCCATTGTTATGACCAGGCTTCACACCCAAGTGCTAGAATTTATGCATTGTTTTCACAAAGAGCTGGTCAACATCACCTGAAAAGGTCACTACAGATGGGTGAGGGCAGAGCGAGGCTTGTATCCCGCTTGAATGCGTCCCCTCAATATACCTACCAAGCAACGAGGGTTATGATGACTACTCGCAGGTAACTTAGACTTGGATGGCGGACCTGGCGAGGAACCGCGAGGATTGGGCGAGAACAGCCACTGCTCCATGGGCAGATGACCTTGGGCCTTAAGTGTTTGGGTATAAGATCACATAAGGCGGAAATGACCTTGATGGATTTCGGGTTTCCACCATATTTGAACCTTCTAGAGAGATCTTATAATGCAGGAATAATAGATCCTGAGCCAAAACCTACTGTAGCGTCATTCCTGGCAACGGTAACGGCCTCAATGAGAAGAGCTATGACGCATAAATACTACGAGTAAGTACCAGGAAGTTTAGGTAGTTGGTTTAGCACACTTCCTCTATCTTCACAGATTAAGATGTTATCTGTCCCTGCAGTAGGTAAGAAAGAGAAGAGAAGAAAAAAATGAAGGGAGGTGAGTGGGGAAAGGGAAGGGAAGGGGGGGGCGCAGAAGCGGTGGGGCTAAGGAGAGATTTCGGGGGGGGGGGGGTGGAATCAGGTGACCGGGCGCTCAGCACTAGGAGCACATGACATAGACTATTTAATGTTAGTTAGTAGTTGTATACGAAGTACCTAGTGCTCACTACAGGTAATTAAATCAGGTAGTGTAAGTTAGTAAACTAGAAACTGGTGGTAGTTAGGTACGGAGTAATCTGGGTAGATGTCTAGCTGAGTCCGGACCATCGATGTCATGACCCAAGGAATCTTTTTGTACATACTATGTAAGTACTTCGTACTCAGCAAGTAACCATGGGGCGTAGTGAACTCATGAAGTCCCAGTGACAGGTTGAGCAGACTACTACTACCTTAGTAGGCTTGGTCTACACTGTCTTTTACCATCACCTGCTGTTATTGGTTTGCTCCATGTCAAGTGACCATCCGTGATTTTCACCCTAGTACTTTGTTGATTGGTGGTTCCAGCGGACTCAGCCTCTTCAATCTCAGTTCATGGAGAGAGATAAATTTCAGGGTACAGGTACGAAGTAATAGCTTACTGTAAGCTGTAATAAATAATGCAGGCTGTGTAAGTATACAATACTATACATTAACCATGTACTATATGCATGGGTTTTAATCGTACGTGCTTTGCCCCTTCCCCAAATCCCCTTTACCCCCACCAGGCTTTCCCCGCCACAATTCCACAGGCCACAGCACCCTTTCCATGCTCGAGTGCAATCTAGATTATGGCGCTGGCGCTGCCCTTTTGTTATCCACAACCTATGCCATCTTCTCCGACTCTGTCTAGTGATATAATGATAACATATATAGAGAAGTGGGTTCTATAGATTGACTCGCCTCTTTTGCCCAAAGCACGTTGCTATTTGGAGCATGGCCGACTTGAATCCTTTCGCCACAAGAACTGAAGGGGAATTGATCCCAGGAGGATATGGAGCTTATGGCTGCTGTCCCAATTGTGGCAGAGACCAAGAATGCTAGGGATGGTTGTGAGAGTTGGTAGTCATACATTAGTATAGATTTAAGCTAACTCTAGAGTGTTTAATATGATGCCTTGACTTTCCTTAAGAAAGACAGGTAGTTTATACCAGTGATCCCTTGGCCCTCGCTGATATTGACGTTCGCAAAGACTCTTCGGCGCGCCAAAACCAGCAGTCCGTAGCCTACTCATCATCCTATTCGTTTGCAATGCAATGGGACATATACATAGTACGATGGAATTGTGAGTTTCTGACCAGTGAGCATGTTTTAGACAGCTAGCTAATTTTGGCATTCTGTAGGCATTATGCGAGACAATGTTACCCAGGACTGATAGGATAACTTTTGAATAGATGACGTGGGTAGGCGGATTCTATGAACAGGTTGTGACTAGTGGTACTTGGTAGTAGCTAGTCGGAATAACAAGCAAATCTATTCCAGCCTGCACTTGCATGGCTGCTCAAATCAAGTATACTCTCAACTACAATACTGTACATGAATTAGGAGATTGCCGATGACACTAGCGATTATTAATCGTTTGAGAACTTGCCAAGATGGGAGCAGCTATGTACGCAGCTGGTGTCTCAAGTTATATCACAAACAGGCTCTTTTCATTGAGTCAGGAAAATACCTGGAATTGTTCCCTCGAACCCAGGCTTCACGATGGTACTGTGCAGTAGCATTACTGAAGTATTATTTGGCTATCCTCTCAAGACATAAAGCTCCATCAGAAGATTTTCTGACGAAAAGATGCAGTACTAGCAATCATGGCACAGCTCTTTGTGGACAGTGGATACTGTTTCTACTACATAGGGCTAACTGTCCAGCCTATCTTCTCGGAGCATAACCACGTGTATAGTAGGGCATTTTGTCAAGACTTAACCACCAAGCGCAGACTGAGACTAGAACCAAAGCTTTGCCTTTACCTCCGCTGATACAGGGTTCATTCTCATTTGTGTGAATTGAAGTTACGGAATTTGTCTTTCTCCTTTCACCTATTTAATCAGCCCAAAGGATCTCGACTTGAAGATGTTTCCCCAACTCTGCCCGCTGCTAGAGGCAGTAGCCCACCTGGCAGGCAATGCTCTCCCAGACCAATCCTGGGTGATTTCGAGATGTCGGGCGAGCGTCTAGACGCAATACCTACAGTGATCACTGACCAGGACTGGGGGGAGGGGGGGTTGTTGCACCTTCAGGTGACTTCTGCTGATTATCATTGCAGTAGACACAAATTGCGCCAGTGCTGTCTACGGCCGATCATAGGCAGCTGCTTACTGACTACTGCGCATTATTAAGTTAGCCCACAGCATAATGTGCTATAATAGTCCAACACAGTAATTCTTGAGCTTAGGATTTACCATGTCAAGATCCTGAATCTTGTGGGAATGGATCCGGAAGGTTTTCTTTCTTGAGATTCTCTCATTCACAAGGGTGGGAGAGAAGCGGGTAAATGGCACGCACATACCTAACTTATGGGTATAAAGAAGCTGTAAGATGATGTCACAGTGGGGAAAAGAGGGGAGGCGCCGTTTTACAAGTGATAACTCACTCGAGTATCACTTTTTCTCAGCCATTTTTTTTTTACCAAATCCAATCTTCTTTCCCGCCCCTCGGTTTAAACGTGGGACCAGGATTCCGCCACACTCAATCTCATGGTAATTAGCTTGGATGTAGCTTTAGATGTCATTGTGGAGCGAGTGTCAATTCTCAGATTCCAAGCAGGACATGATATTGTCGCATGGACTCTACAGTACAGCACAAACCGTGACTTGTAGAGTGATAATCGGGTACGTTGTTTGAAACCAAGGGCCCTACACTGGATGATGGGATATGGGCTAATCTTACCCTACCATGGAAGGGCATAGTCCAAGTGGATGTACTATTAGGTGTTACCGTGTTAGATTGAAGCAGTGATCCGCCCCCCCCCCCCTCCCCCCAAGGGGAGTGAATAACTTCGATACCTTTCCCCGAATTTTCCTTCCAGGCTAGACTAGATGACTGTCAATTGAACTTCGGGTCCATGCACTTGGTCATAACAACATGTCACGATTACTTCTCTTCCCAAACAATAAGTGATGTGTGATTGACACTTAGGAACTTTCTCCAGATGTCACGCTTCTCGGGAGGCTTATTATGGCCCATCACACAAGTCCTTTTTTCTTCGGCGAGCCGAACTATTGGGGGTGGGGATTATTGGAACTAGTCTACGTAGTAATAAGTTAGTTTCCTTAGCCTACTTAGTATGGTTGAGTACAAAATACTAATGTATGACTTTGTGTGATCAGATTTTGAGATCGATTACAGAGTACTCGTACTTCTGGCTGGGAATGACTCGGTGGCGCCGCAGAAGAAGTCATGAACCTCGTTGGACTGAGTTGAGGCCTGTAGCAAGTACTTTACCTTACGGTAGTTGGAACTCATGGGTTAACTACTAGGTACCTTGGTTTAAGCTAAAACAATCCCAGCAAAGGCCCTATCAAGTGCTGCTCAACAGAGGTCCTCCACTAGAATAATACGTATCCGGTTTAAATCATTACGAAAACCGTACTGTACGTAAATCTCAGCGCTGCTTTCTTCAAAAATCTATTCTGAGCTGATACAGATTGCTGATATCCTTCACAATCATCATATGTACGCAGGACTCCAGTGCCTCAGCTCCGAATGTACAGAATTACTTTTATGTCTTATTCTCCCATCCTCGTTACAACCAATATCAGGGAGTTGACCTTAACCTCACTTGCATGCCAGCCAGAGAAATGGAGTGATACGTACAGGCCATCCCATCCATGGTATAAATTTCTCATTATGCAATATCGATTAGGTGCTGTCGATTGATGTCTTTGAATGAACGTCTCTGAGGAGATCTTCTGCGGTATATATGTTCCCTTGCCCACCTTATCCTTCTGACCACACGAAATCCACATGAAGGGGACAGTGTGAAGAATTGGCATGACTGCACTTGTTCCTGTGCTGCCGTCAAGGCCAAAGGTTCTGGGTTATGCAAGCGTCCGCATTCATTTTACATTGTCCCATCTATGATGCATCAGGTAACAGAAACCATTCCAACAGGTGATGCTTCCATGGACACCGAGCAGGTCTGTTCGTCTGCCGAGATAGTCACTGAGAAAAGGTAAGAAAACAGAAAAATAAGAAAAACCATGGGACCGAAATCATGAACAGAATAGATATCAGCGGCGGCTGAATCAAGAAAGCATCTATACAAAATTGGTCCCATACGTCAAAGCGACTGCAGTAAACCGCGTTCAAGGGGATTAACCGTAGATAACACACCACCTTCCGAACATACATATGGAAAGAGAAGAGCTACTAAAACAGACTGAAGAATATATGAGCCAGGGGCAGGCCGAATGCGAGAGCTCCTAGCTCCCACGCCCGAGTGGGAGTCATTAGCCCCAGCTACGTTCTAGGGCGTGCTTAGAAAGGAGGAGGGATCATGCCCTGGGCCTCAACTTTCTCTTGCTGCTCCATCAATTCCTCGCCAGCGATCTCGAGGGAAACAGCAAGACCGAGCTTGGCCGTTTGCTAACAGAGAGACAAGCATTAGTGTGACAATTTCAACGAAAGCTGTATTTTGTTAAGTGCGACTCACCTTGGCCTGATCAATCTCGCCGGCGAAAGTAAGAGCAATAGGCATGGCTATCCGCTTCTCGAGAAGGCAGCTGACCTTTCCGGCACTGTCGACCTGAGCACGGAACGTAGAAGCGCGGAAGTCATACTTAGCACCGATGGCAGTAGTGCCATCACGGCTAGGACCACCCATCAGCGCAGCAGCCGCATTGGGAGCGAACTGCAGGTTCATATCGACACCAGCCTCAACCCGCTCAGAAAGCTTCTTCCAGTAAGAGGCAGTCAGGACACCCTGAGCCTGAAGTTGTGCGCTAGCAATCCAGTCGTTGGCCTTGTAACGGGCACTATACGACAGGGCACTTTCCGGACGAGTGTTCATACCCTGGCGCTGCCAGATTGCTTCAAAACCAAGTGCTAGACTGGGCGTAACGGATTGGAGATAGCTGCCAACGAAGATTCCAGTGAGGCCCCCATCCAAGAGAGATGGGTTGAAAGCCTTGAGAGAAGCGGAGAAATCATCACCGGTGTAGTCCTGGTCGACCTGAATGAGGGCCTGACTGGAACCAGCCATAATCTGAGTGTTGGTCTTGGTGACCAACTTGGGGGTCCAGCGGTAGTTGGCGACAGCAGCGAGTCCACCATCGCTTCCGATGTTACCTTGCATAAAGACCTGTATGAATCAGCAACGAGGACCGTTAGCATACTTCATGAAGTGTAGCGAGGGTATCTTAAATCAGAGAAAGGTTTACCTTCGGACTTCCATACATAGCGGAGAAGTTGTACGGAGGCAGGTTCCCGGACGAGCCCATCGAGAACGCATGCGATACACGGAACAAGGGAGACATCCCGAAGACCTTAGTCAAATCGGCTCGAAGACCCGTGAACATGAAGTTTGACAGCAGAACATCCTTTTGCACCTCCCGGGCGATGTTTTCCACAGTTCCGGGGTTGGATAGACCGAGGGCAGCCCTGCGCTCGGAGAACGAGGAGTATGCATCCTTGAGGGCTGCGGCAACGGAATTGTCCGTCAAAAAAGATGGAGGAGCCAAATAATCGGACATTGTGAAGTATTGCGGAGGAAAAACAAGGTCGGTATACTCGAGTGGAAGAAAGCGGACGTTGGAACGTGACGCGGCCGTCCTTGTGATGGAAAGATGGGGAAGGACAAGGCTAGGAAAGATGAGTTCTTGACACCAGCCCTAAAAAGAAGACCGAAGAATCCAAGAGCAACCGCGGCAGTTGCAAAGTCAGGTATCGAGGAAAGTACCTGACCTGCTCGGGGAGGTAGGGGGAAGGGGGTGGGAAGAAGAAGAGGAGGAGCAGGGAATGTCAAACACCGAGGTAGAATTGGTGGTGAGGTTTCAGTTGATGGACGATTGAAGCCCAGAGCTTTCGGGACTGAAAAAAGTCGCTCACCATCGCTTTTCCGCCCGGGCTACGGCTCAGGTATCTGCGGTCCGCCGGAGCCAGACTTAGTGAGAACCAGCCTCGGATGCTCGGACTTTCAGTTCCGCCGGAATGACCTAATCAACCTAATTACTCATGCACCTAACTACCTACGCCGTAGTAACTTAGTTACGTACTCCGAGTAGTACGGCCCGGGTAAGCCTGAGTGCCATCGTTAGCCAAACCACCAACCGACCAACCTCGAACTGGACGGAACCTTGTTAACTTTTACTGCATTGTTGAGTTGACTAACTAGTTAAGGCAGTTGAATTAGTCACCATTTACACATGCATCTCGACATTCTATCTTATCCAGTTCTTGTACAGTATAGTACAGAAGTACCGTTTTATCTTCTATATTGTCTTCAAACTATCATTCACAGCCTTCATCAGCCTGAATCTCCCCTATCCTGTCACGATCATTATGTCCCAATGATAGAATCGCTTCATTGGGTGTGGTTTTTCTGACTATGAGTATCTGGTAATTATCGTGTACTTACTCGAGGTATGTACAGCTGAGTACTGTACCCACGTACTAGAGACACAGTCCGCTGCCTGGTTGGGCCGAGCTCGTGCTGCTCCATCTCCTTCTCTAATCTCGAATGCCGAGTGCTGGAACCTACCTGCCTGCCTTCCTTTGACTCCAGCTTTCACCCTCCATAACCTTTCCTTATTAATCCCGCCAGGTCTTCTTCAACATCGACATAGAAATTGTTCGTTGTCGTGCTGTTCATTACCAGTGTCAAAAAAACTCATACTTCTCCCTTAACATCATGGACACATTACTGTAAGCCCCCTTCTCCCCGCCATCTCGTGCCATTCTCCGATCCATTATGAGTCTGGCTCCTGCGCACTCGCCTGTGCCTACCCATACCGCTTACACCTTATGCGACGTGGATAGTCCCACAGCAAGCAAAACTGGTTGTCGATGCTACCTGGTTCTCTAACATGGATTAGAACTGCTGACATTATCGCCAATTCCCCGCGTTTCCGACGGAAGTCTTCTACCTTCGTCGATGCGATCCATGACTTACCCGAGAAGGCCGATCTAGCTCCGGCCCAGCTCTACAGTACCGAGTCAGGACGGCTTTTCCACTCCGGCCGAATCGTCATCATCACCGTGGGGTTACCGGCGAGGGGTAAAACGTTTGTGATACCTAAGCCACTCGTATGTTTCCTTTGGCTCGCTGACGCTTGATCAGACATATGTCTGTAGCTCTAGCGCGATATCTACGATGGTAGGTCGATTCTTCCACGGGAGATTCGCTGAGACTAGCGCTTAAGATATCCCAGGTTAGGCGTGAAAACCAGAATATTTCATCTAGGAGATTATAGACGTGCAACCATTCCCTTTGGCCAGGATATTCCAGATGACTACTTCTTCGTGAACGGTAAGCACCAAGTTGCAGTTCTTGCATCTTTCCTCAAAGTACTCATGCCGCACAGCATCCGCTTCATCGGTCCTCTTAAGACAAAAGATTGTGAAACGGTGTCGGGAAGATATTTATCAGTTTCTGAACCATGAAAATGGACAGATAGCCATTTACGACGCCGTCAATCCATTGGCATCCGGTCGGCGATCACTCGCAAAAGAATTTGCTAAGCATGACATTGAGGTGAGTTGTCTGGGATGTATGCTTTGGGTCTCTTCGATTATTTTGACCCCTTCCCCCATTAGACACTATTCATCGAGTCGTGGTGTGACGACGAGCGCATAATCGAAGAAAACGTCCGAAGGGTCAAAATATCCTCACCCGATGTAAGTGCTTCCCGAACTTTTTGCACGAGATCCTAATTCTTGTATAGTATGTGGGCTGGAGCTCGGAAGATGCTGTGAAACATTACCTGACTCGGATAGCCGCTCGTATTCCTCAATTTCAGTCAATGGAGGAGACGGATCTGAATTATATCAAGGTACTTTCAGTAGCCCTTCTGAGGCCATCTGCTCTCGCTAATCACAAATAGATGATGAATGCTGGGGAAAGGTTAATTGTGAACAATCGAAGCTTCGGCTATCTCTCCAACAGAATAGTGTTCTATCTCCTCAATCTTCACATCAAATCCAGACACACATACTTTGCACGAGTAAGTCTGGAGGATTGTATCTGTTTTATATATTTCAAAGGCTGAAAATCACCAGGCTGGCGTATCACTGGAAGCGGATTCTTATAAAGCAGATGCCTCGCTGTCTGAGCAGGGCGAAGACTACGCGAAGAAGATGACGGAGTCCTTGCTGAGGCATAGGGAGTCTGAAAGGCAAGCAATGATCGACGAGGGAGAACCGAGTTACGAGTTAAAACCACTTACTGTCTGGACCTCCACACGAAGAAGGACAGTTGAGACGGCTAAGTATCTCCATGAAAAAGGATACAAAGTGCGACAGAGATCTCAGATGAGCCAATTAAACCCGGGAGTTTGCGAGAAGATGTCAGAGGCAAAGATCCGTCAGGAGTATCCGGAAGAGGTTGCAAAACACGAACTTGACCCCTACCATCATCGGTATCCGCGGGCGGAGGTGAATCGCCCTGCTATCTCAAAAGTATTATCATAGTAGCTGACAGCAATGACAGTCATACCATGACCTTGCAGTTCGACTCGAACCTATCATTCTAGAGCTCGAGCGTGAACAAAACGATTTGCTGATTATCGCACATGAAAGCGTGCTGAGAGTCTTATACGGGTACCTGATGGCCTGCAATGCTGCGGATATCCCATTCTTGGATTTCCCTCGTGATGAGATTATTGAAGTAAGCCCAATCAAAAGCCTTTGAGGTTCATTTGAGATGAATGTCCATCTGACCGGTCCTTCTAGATCATACCCGAAAGCTATCAAAACGAAGCACGCAGGGTCCATATCTCTGGCCTTCCCAGAGAAATCGTCCCCGGTTCTCCTCAGGACATCAAGATCCCTGTGCCCCCCAGCGGAGTAACAACCCCTTTGGCTGCTGATCTTGGCAGCCCGCGCGAGGGTCTCTCGACTCCCCAGAGCGGTCTCCGAACCCCGCGCGAACCGGAAAGAATCTCACAGCAGCATGTTGAAGACGTTGTCTAGTATATACATTGGTTATCATGCACATGGTACCATGGGCGTTGTTGGTGTCGGGCAGATCCTCATATATCAAAAAGGACTCGGCACTAGCCGCCGTGGAGCGTAGAAACAAAGACGATATTATCGCCTGATTGAAGCTCATAAGTTTCCTCCCCTTCGAGCTCCCAGTCGGCATCGTTGATCAAGACTAGGATTCCGGGGCGCCTAGTGAATATATATATATATACGGTCAGTCGGCCTTGCTCTCATGCCGGTCCTCGGACAGACGTACACATTATCTTCTAGTATGAACAATTCTTTTCGTTGATCTTTCATGAGGTTTTCGACTAAGTATGCAAGAAGGTAGGACACATTTGGTCGGTTGCCATCGCTGAGCCGAGAAGGAAGGGTGATGCTGTGCTTGCGCTCGTTGGCGAACAAGATTTCTAGGCCCCCGCTATAAAGCAAAGCGAAGCAGTCAGTGAATCATGCCCGGGTCAGCTCTACAATTATGTAGAGAAAAGGGGGAAACTCAACGTGAACTCAACCGTGAGCGAAAGGGATGTGGAGTCTGAAGAGTTTGCTTCCATGATCGGAAGGAAAGGATAGATCGGTAGATTTGATGGATAGATAGGATACTCGGAGTGAGTTTGACCGTGATCTTGAAAGAGTTCGCCGAGTAAGAGGCAAGAAGACGAAAAGGACGCTGCTGGTGTCCAGTACTCCGTACTTAGTTGTTAGCCTTATCGATAAGCTTCCCCCCTCCCTCTCCAGCACAAAAAGTCAGTCGATTTGCAACAGACCGCCTGCCCCCGCTTCTCTTACCTGTTCGTCCGTGCATCTGAGATTGATTCAGTTCTGACACCAAGCGGTTGTTCATTACCTCCCTTTCCAGACCTGTTGGGCTCCGAATTCACCAGCTCAATGGTCTCTGTCACCACTGAGTACGTTAGCGTTGGGGGCAATAGGCATCCCGCCGCCGCCGATTGGGATGTCCGGACTGGCGTGCTTGCCTTCGGTGCCGATAACAATGTAGCACTGTGGAACCCAAATGTGAGTGCTCATTTATCAATAGCTTTCCTTTCATTCATTGCCTGACCCAAATACAGGATAGTACGCAGCGCGGAGTCTATTCACTCCTTGTCGGCCACACCGACAAGGTCAGCGCCGTTCGATTCTACACCTGCCCTACTACAGACGCTAAATACCTTTTGACCGGGTCAGTCGACCATACAATCCGCCTATGGCGAGCGCACTCAGCCGACTCGCGTCAATACGTGCACGTGAATACCCTGGAAGGCCATACTGGTTCAATCAATACCATCGCCGTGGCTGACGGGCACGACATCGTGGCAACGGGAGCCGCTGATGGAACCGTCAAAGTATGGAAGATTCATGCTCAGGGCGAAGCGAAGGGCGAGCTGCTCAAGTCAATATTCATGAAGCCACGGTTCTTTCCACTGGCCTTGGCATTGAGCCCTCTTCAATCGGAGTCGGATACCAGACCCGTCGCCTTAGCGGTTGCAGGCACCACCAATGCCGTGCAAATTTACGTGGCGGAGAATACCCATACAGCTCTTGAATTCAGGCTCTCGGCTGTGTTGTCTGGACATGAGGCTTGGGTACGGTCCTTGAATTTCACGTTAGACAAGCAGAGCGCAGCCGGTGACATTCTGCTGGCCTCGGCGAGTCAAGACAAATATGTCCGACTTTGGAGACTGCAGCGTGGGGGGGCTACTTCTACTGCTCCGGCCGATTACGGTGACCCCATGATAGGTGGCGTTGAGACAACTCTTTCGAACAAAGCCCACCAATTCGAGGTAACCGGGCTGAAATTCTCTGTCACCTTTGAAGCGCTACTTTTCGGAAACGAGGACTGGATCTACACCGCCAACTGGAATCCCAATCCAGAGCGCCAGCAGCTCCTCACTTCCTCGGCTGATAATACATTAACCATTTGGGAGCAAGATCCTGCTTCCGGGGTGTGGCTCTCCGCCGAGAGGATGGGAGAGATTAGCGTCCAGAAAGGCTCAACAACCGCTACTGGCAGTACGGGTGGGTTTTGGATTGGCCTCTGGTCTCCAGATGGCACACAGGTTGTCAGCCTCGGTCGTACCGGTAGTTGGCGAGCATGGAAATATGATGCAGCATCTGACTTGTGGGTGCAATCTCTTGGGATTTCTGGACATGTACGGTCGGTCAATGGCGTGCAATGGGAGCCTTCTGGCGGATACCTCCTGTCGACTAGCGCCGACCAAACCACGCGCCTTCATGCCAAATGGGAGCGCGAAGGACTTCAGTCTTGGCATGAGTTCTCCCGTCCTCAAATACATGGGTACGACCTGAACTGTATCGATACTCTAGGACCGGCTAGATTTGTGTCTGGCGCAGACGAGAAGCTGTTGCGGGTTTTCAATGAGCCTCGACCAATTGCGCAACTACTGGGGAGGCTCTCCGGTTTCAAGCAATCCGAGGAGGTTCAACTGCCTGACGCAGCCGAGATCCCTGTGCTGGGTTTGTCAAACCAAGCTCCGGCTGACGATGCCCCCGGAGGAGAGGAGGAAACAGATAACGCATATATGGAAAAGACACAGGCTATCTCAACGGCACTGCTAGAGTCGAATCAACCGCCATTGGAGGATCAACTGGCTCGTCACACCCTATGGCCCGAGCATGAGAAGTTATATGGCCACGGCTATGAAATTTCTGCCGTAGCCGTTAGCCACGACCGCACGCTTATCGCCACGGCCTGCAAAGCGAGCTCGATTGACCATGCGGTGGTTCGTTTATATGACACTTCCGACTGGCATGAGATTCGGCCCTCCCTTGCCGCTCATACATTGACCATCACAAGTCTCTGTTTCTCTAGTGATGACCAGCATCTTCTCAGCGTTGGTCGTGACAGACAATGGGCTGTGTACAAGCGCAGCGAGCAAGACCCCTCAACCTTCTCAATACTGACGAACAATCCCAAGGGTCATTCGCGTATGATTCTCGACGCCGCATGGGCTCCGATATCACAGACTCCTATCTTCGCGACTGCTGGCCGCGACAAGTCAGTGAAGGTCTGGCAAATGCATGACGGTGCATGCGAATGCAAGGCGACAATCCCCTTGGATACCCCCGTAACTGCCATCTCATTCCTTTCGAGTATACAGAAGAATTCGTTCATTCTCGCCGCGGGCGAAGAGAGCGGGGAGCTGTCTATCCACCGGATTGCCATCGGCAGTCTGCAAATTAGTCACCTGGCAAGCGTTGACAAGCTCAAATCGCCGTCCAAGGCCATTACCCAACTTTCCTGGCGGCCGGGCCAGAAGGAAGCGGCGCCACATTTCGTGCTTGCCGTGGCCAGTGAAGATACCTCGCTGCGCATATATGATTTCTCGGATTTGGTTTTATGAACGGAAGATTGGTATATCCAGGTACACGTAGTATATCCGCAGTAGAGGACAATGATGAAAGCCATCAAAGAAAAAATGAAGTAAATACCATTCATTAGATCATCTGCATGTTGAAAAACGCCCGGAGGAGTGGGTTGAATGTATCCGCTTGTTCTAGATATCTTGAAATTGAAAGTTACCGTGTATCGGCCATGATGGTTGAATTGTGCGCGCCATGGAAATAGGGCAAGGCCAAGGTAGAGAGTGCAAACACTAGAAAAGAAAGAGAAGATGAGAAGTGGCATACATCACGGCCGCTTTTCAAGCCCATAACCACCCAGGCCATCTAGTGACGGGTAGGTTTTGGCCTGGCCCTGATATCCATTTCGGGGACCTCTGTGCCGAAGATCCTCCGTGAGCCATTTGAGCACCAGCTCGCCCAGCTGAGTATTCTGGGACGACTCTTTGACCTCATCATGGAACTTCTCGATAGGACCCCATTGGCGAACGGTGCCTAGATGCATGTGGACCAGATGCGTGGGCCACAGGGACAAATTGTCTAAAATGTGAGTGGCATACACGATGGAGCAGGGTCTGGATTCTGTTTCGCGCTTCAAGAACCCCAGGAAATTGGCCCGGGAGAGCAGGTCCAGATCGACGGTGATTTCATCAAGCAGGAGAACCCGCCAGGGACGGAGCAAGCCCATCGCAAGCTGCACGCGGCGACGCTCTCCATCCGACACGGCGTGCATGCGCCACCGGAGATCGATGTCGAGTATCTCGACCAGCTCGTCCCGGCGTTCTGGGTAGGCGTTACCGCCGACCGATGCAAGTAGAGTGGGCACGTCGATGTCGGTCCGGACAATGTTGTTCAGGACCCATTCCATGCCGAGATAAGTGACGCCTTCCAAACCATCTTTGAATGGGTCTTTGCCGGCCACGGTGATGGTGTCCGTTGGGGCCAGACGCTTTCCGGACAGGAGGCGTAGGAGTGTGGTCTTGCCGGCACCGTTGGCTAGGAAGATGTTAATCTCCTAGAAGATGAATATGGTCACTTTACCCCGCAGCGAGCTTACCTCCAATGAGTAGAGTACGACTGCCGGACGGTACGTTCAGATTGATATCCGTCAAGCCTGATGATCCATCGGGAAACTTGAAAGATAGGTTTCTCACCTCGATTGAGGGGAGATGGAGATCGGAGTCAGCCATGGAAGAAGAAGACCGAGATATTGGTCGGTATATATGGATAGCCCTTTGGTCCCTTTCCACAGAGTCAAGCAATTTATTTAACGAATTGAAGTCAATTGATTGAAAGCTGGGAGATCGGCGGGACAAGCAGATCAGGCAAGGCCGCAAGAGGGGGGGAGGGAACGAGCGATAAAAGATAAGATCTTGATCCTTGATGAGGTAAGAAACCCGTGGGTGCGATTTTCTCCCTCTCGTTCGCCGATTCTTTCCCCGCAATATTTTGTGTTTCTGGGAGACGGCACCGAGCACCCACAGCCTTGTCATCTCTGAGGTCGGGTATATTTTTCCAGGCCAAAATGCTAAGTGTGGTCTGGTTCTGTACCTCATGCGACATCTTCTCCGGCAACTGTTCTCTAGTTTTCACTCGTCTCCACCAGTCATGAAACCTCTCATCGCTGTCGTCGGAGCGACAGGTACTGGCAAGTCGAAGGTAAGCAAGAATCGAGAATCAGTAGAAGAGAACTAAACAGCAAGAAGGCTATGCTTATGCATTTAGTCAAACTCATTTATTAACGGCTACAGATAGCTTGCAGTTGACTTGGCCTCGCGCTTCAATGGCGAAATCATCAATGGTGATGCAATGCAAATGTACCGCGGCCTCCCGATCATCACCAATCAAATCCCTCCCGAGGAACGTAACGGTATTCCGCATCATTTACTGAGCTGTGTAGAAATAGAGGAAGAGCCATGGTGGATCGGTCGATTCAAACAGGACAGTCTTCGGCTAATTGACGAGATCCACGCCAAGGGGAAACTTCCGATTCTAGTCGGAGGCACACATTACTACACACAAGCCGTGCTCTTCAACGACCAACTGGTTGATGCAGATCAAGATTTCAGTGATGATGATCCGGTTCTCCGGGATGACAACAGTGACCGGGACTCACCGACCAAATGGCCGATTCTCGACGCTACTCCAGAAGTGATGTTGCAGAAACTCAAAGAAGTCGACCCGGTCATGGCGGCCAGATGGCACCCAAATGATGCCCGCAAAATCCGGCGCTCTTTGGAGATCTACTTCCAAACTGGGCGCCCCGCCTCTGAAGTCTACGCAGAACAACAGCGGCTGAAACAGGCTGACATGGCGCGCAACAGCCTTTCTCTTGGCGTGGGCCGTTTGCGATACCCGACAATGATTTTCTGGGTGCACTCGGAGAAGGAAATGCTTAATTCTCGATTGGAAAAGCGCGTGGACTCGATGGTAGACCAAGGGCTCATGGAGGAAGCTAGACGCATGTTTGATTTTTCTCTGGAGAAGAAAAAGCAGGGCGATCCGGTCGATCACACGCGAGGCGTATGGGTTTCCATTGGCTACAAGGAGCTGGCGCCGTACTTCGATGCCCTCTATAAGGGTTTCATGAGCGAGTTGGACTTGGAGGCATTGAAAAGAGCCTGCGTCGGGTCCATCAAGTCTGCAACGCGACAATACGCCGTGTCACAAATTAAATGGATACGAAATAAGCTATGGAAAGCTATTGCCGATGCAGGCGCGACTGATCATCTCTACCTCCTGGATAGCACGAACGTCGAGGCATGGAAGGAGACTATCACACAGCCGTCAGAGGAATTGGTACGAGCTCTGCTGAATGGTGAATCCACTCCCGATCCCAAGTCACTATCAGAGCTTGCTAGAACCGTCCTGAGTGCAAAAGAGGCGCAGCCGCAGAGAGATTCCACCGCCTATATGAAATGTATAACGTGCAATGTCTGCAAGAAGACAATGCAAGGCAGCGAGCAATGGGATATTCACATCAATGGGAATGTACATAAGAGAGCTCTCAAAAGTGCTGCCAAGAAGGCTGCACGTGATGCGTACCTCCGGAAACGGCAGGATAGCCTCACCTCAGATGTTCTACCAGATATTAGCAGTGAAGCCGCGATCAAAGAAGACGCAGGGTAAATGCCACTATCAATGGTTGCTGTACGATTTCTACTCTTGCGCGCTGAGGGTACATAAGATACTCTCGGTGTTCAGCTGTGATACAGACTCGTTGCTGTGCTGTATATCAGTGAACGAGATTACAGACCGTAAATCAGAGGACATTTTCAATATGTAACCACCAGACTAGATATTCTAAGGACAGACACTTCTCATCCCGAGGATTCAGAGTGAAAGAAGGTTAGCCACAGGAGACATACACGCTTTACGATGCTTGACATTCGATCAGATCTAGCTGGGACATATGTGGGTCTTCGAATGTAGGACATCGGGTAAGCCGTGGCGGACTACAATTCACCACGGAATTGATCCCGTCAGCCCTCTGACCAGGAACATAAGTGCGCAGGCGCCTTCTTGTGCCAAAGACATTTGTCACTGGGGGATGCACATATCTCGCAATGCGAATTTTTGGACCAAGAATCGACATCAGATAAGAGCCAATGGCGACCGTTCATAATTTCGGCTTCTCGTTCATCAAGCCTCTGAACAATTCGCTATAGATAACCAGGCTTTAACGAGCCTGAGTTTCTCATATTGTGGTCCTCCAAGCTGAAAAGGCCGGAGAGATGATGTCGCCAGTCCCACTATCCTCCACTTTGAAGACCTCGATGACTGAGGATCTCTCACGTTTGACTATCCTCCACGTCCCTTCCTCCTGAATGGTGGATTTAAGCCCTGGTTTCGTTAGTTCTAAATCTTGAGGTGATAGTGTTTAAGGACCGCATGAGGATTGAGTGGGCCTTTTCCTACATTGCAGAAATTCAGCAGTGAAATTGATGCATATATTTCCGTCCCAGGTCGCTCGTCCCACCTTCTTGACCTTGCCTGGTATGCTGGCGGTGTCCAATTCCTCAAGACGGTGGACAATTCCTTGCTGGTCTCGAAACCCGACGATAATTCGAGGCACGCCAAGAAGGAATGATTGAGCCCAGAACTTGAGAAGCTTCCTTTCGTATTTGACCATGTCCCGGTCATTCCTGATCTCGGCCGAGGTTTTCAGTTCTACCCAGTTGATCGGGTCCTCCTTCCGGTCCGGTTTGCGGTCCCATACTTAACACACGTGGTTATTTCATGTCAGGTATCAGTTATCTGATAGACCCTTTGCAATCACTTACTAGCATCCACTTCGCCCCCAATGACAAGTTTGGTGCGACCTATCGCAGTCCGCACCACGGAGCAATACTGGGCCTTGTTGTTCACAACAAGCTCTTCTCGATCTTCAATCTCCTGACGAGGACTTGGATCCCATGGTTGGTTGAGTAACGATATTGTTTCAAATTTGTAGCCTACATCAATCAGTGTCAATTTGGCGAATGATACCCGAAGAGCCCCGACAGCATTCGGACTCGGCCGTGGAAGACAACTGTACCCCAGTATGCCATTAGCTCTTGAGAAGCCATACCAGGGGGCATTCTCTGATTCTTCTGGATCCGCTTCTGCTCATTTTTGTAGCTGTTGTTCTCTTCAATAAAGCTAGAAATTATCAGGACCCGCACATAGCCGACTGGAGCATACGCACATAGTTCCCTAACAAGGTTGTCAACGACTTAGCATAGTTAAAGCTGGGGGTCAATGATAGCTTACTTGGTACAAGGTCGCGTTCATCTCAAACCTGTAACGGGGTTAACTCAATGATGTTAGAGCTTCACGGAACGGCCGAGACACACCCGTTCATATTGTCAAAGGGAGCCGTCAGTATCTATGCCTCCAGTGGTACATTAGCACCGAGCCTTTGGCAAGGCAGTATCGCCCACATTCGTTAGATATCATACCGACCTTGGTCATCATTCCTCTCCAAGTGATGATATCAGCTTCGCATTTGTTTCCCGTATCCTGTTCTAGAGCTATGATGGTTTCGAGCAATGCATCGAGATGCTCGTCGGCGAAATCATCTAGCTTCTGGAAGGATTCGAACCCCCGGTTCAGATCTGCAGGGAGATGCGGTGTGTAGTAGTATTTCAAGGAGGACTCTCCCAGATGGAACTCATGATTATCGTCATAGGAAAAACATGCGATTTCCTGGCCATGTTCAATACCAATCTCAACTATCCAAGTCTAGAAAGGGATTGTGGAAGAGGCGTAGGTAGGGGCAGGCAGGTAATAAGTGTAGTGTTAGTTGGTACTTACCTTAGGACGTCGAATTGCGGCACTGGCTCCGTAGAAGCGGCCAATGGGTTGAATATCAAACACTTTCCGGTCCATTAGGAGGTTAACTTAATTCTCAAGACGCAATAGCATCCAAGATCATAATCGATAAAGTGATAGGTGGGCGTACAGTACAGGCCCAAGTAAAAAACCACGTACAGTACAATATATGTACTGACTGTACGGAGACTCAGTCTGAGTTCGCTCCGCCCGCCCTTCTGGAAGAAGCCAAGCGCGCATTGCTATTCTTGCGTTCCCCCACCCCCCACCACCAAATGTCGCCTGCTATCCGACTCCTTCTTCCTTCCTTTTCTTTTTGCTGAGCAAGCTTGACGTCCGAAGTTACCTTCTCAAACTCGCGACTACACTTTCCGATTATATCGTGTCCTGTTCATCGAGACACTCGGTCCAGCTTGTTCCCAGGCATTCATCAAGGTCGTCACCGCAGAGCCTCCTTGAGGTAGTCTCCACTACAACATGACCTCACGCATTGAGAAGACCATCGCTCGACAGCAAGAGAAGTGAGTCAACCCACCTCGCGCATCCAATAACAACTTGCACAAGCCAAGACGAAATTGTTAACAGCTAACCATGTTTTGCCGTCGTCTTCCAGAATCGCTTCTGGTGCATATTACGAAGCTCATCAACAACTACGAGTCATCGCCGCGCGTTATATTAAACAAGCCAACTACGATGTGGCGGCAGAACTATTAGCTAGTGGCGCTGCAGCCCTCTTGAAAGCCGGCTCCCAGCAGGGTGCTTCCGCTAGTGGCGGAGACCTTGCTATCATGCTGGTCGTCGAGGTGTACATCAAGGCGGGTTGGGAGATTACCCCCGGCGATGATGATACTGAAGGACGAAGTCGCAAGAGTAAGTTTTGCATACAGTGTCAACCTCGAATAGGCTGCCATTTGTCACCATCTATACCAAGACTTCACTCGGAACAAAGCTGACGGGCAATGTCAATAATAGAGCGATTGGTCGAGCTTCTGCACGCCTTCCCACCCGAGGAACCTACACGGAAAAGGTTTATCCAAGAGATGATCGGATGGAGTGGTCGTTTTGGCCCCCTGGAGAGAGGAGACCCCGAATTGCATCATGCTGCTGGATCAGTATACGCCGAGGGTATGTGAATCACATTACATATCGAAGACCAGACAGTTCTCTAATCTGAAGCTTATAGACCATGAACCATATGACGCTGAGAAGCATCTTATTTTCGGTACCTCAGAATCGGCCGAGACTCTGGCGAAACTTGAATACGAGTGGTACACTCATGACGATCCGCATACGGCAGCTATCTACGCATCTCGTGCCGTATTCCCATACCTTCTCATCGGAAACCTTCGCAACGCCAACAAAGCCTTTCTTATCTTCACGTCAAAGCTTTCCTCCTCGAATCCATCACTCGGCGTACAAGACGTCAGCAGCGCTAGCTCTGACGTGCGGGTCTATCCCGCGCTCCCTTTGCTGAACTTCATAAGCATGCTCCTCCTCACGATACAGCGTGGCAGTTCGGATCTTTTCAAGCAGCTGACCGCTCATTATGCATCCCACATTCGAGAGGTGGGCATCTGGGACGAAGCCCTGGCTCAGCTGGGTGAGCAATATTTCGGAATCAAAATTCCGAGGCAAAGTAACCCCCTGCTAGACATGATGGGCAGCATGCTTTTCGGAGGTGGTCAGGATACTGCCGGTGCCCGGACGGCACCTCAAGGACGAGCGGGTTCGAAAAGGGCCGAGGCGCCCCCTGCGAGTATGGAGCTTGACTAGTTTGAGGCTGACGGGAACTTCCGCAATGTAAATCAATGCAGTTCACATACATCATCCACCAAGCGTCATGATAGGCGTAATGATAGGCATAAGGCATGTAACCACCGTGAAGATTCTAGATACTGGAGTCGACCTCGGGTTCGTACATCCAATTATCTTCCTCCAAAGCGGCAACTTTGTTACGAAGGCTCTGCTGGATAAGCGTCAAGATTTCTATCTCCAATTAGCTTCGGCCTCTCTAACGGCTGTCGAAAAGACTTGCCAGCTGGCTCACTACTCATACGCCTGCTCTTGTTTCGATACATTTCAGACAAACTGGCTTCGATCTCTATGGTGAATTAGCATGGTCTTGTATGCAGGGCATGGCAATGAGGCTTCAGCACGAATGCTTACTCTCTTTCTCTCGTCTTGAGATATCGGTCTGGTTTGTAGCATCGATTGTTGCGGCCCCGGAACCGCCCTGGGCACCTACGTCTTCTATACCCTCCATTTCATCACCCCCATTGCCAATCAAAGCGGGGGGAACCGGAATGTCGAGCTTGTAGCCACCGTTCTTGTCTCGGGCCACAATTTCCCCCCCATCGACGGGGCCGGAACTCAAGGACGAGGCTGAGTCCGAGGACATCGAGGGTGCCATCTGCGCGGATTGAACCGGGACCCCGTGAGTAGCACTGCTCTGCGCAGAGGAGCTAGAAGGAGCCACCGAGCCAGGGCGTCTGCTGAGATGATGGTGAAAGAGATTGCGGCGGACAGAAGTCGTTCCCATGGTGAAGATTACAGGAAAGAGCATTCACTGGTTGAGATGAAAGTGTTGTAGTAATGGTGAGGTAAAGTAAGCGTTGTCCCGGAAGTTGGTAGAGCGCCTAGTGGTCATAAAAGTAATAAACAAGGTCTTGTAAAGTAATACAGACGCGATAAATATAAGTTGCAGAAGTTGCAGTAGTAATAAAGGTTCTTGGAGTAGCAGGTTACTCTTGAAACATCAGCAGTCCCAGAGACTTATGATGTGGTGGGTGCATACTCCGTGCCATGCATGCAGCAGTGATCGAAAATGGAAGAAATATGGAAAGCGGAGGCGGGAATACAATCGGTCTGTTTGCCAACTGGCCAACCGGACCCCATGTGATCCTGAAACGACAGAAAAAGATAGATCGATAGATTCGTGCATCGTCGACGGGTACTAACTTGCACAAAAAGAGTGCACTGTGGAACTACTAAGTTGCTTGTGGGAGCGAAAGAAAACAAGAGAGAAGCCTTTACAATCACAGCCTCTGGTCACTGCACCGGCAACAATCAATTACAACTCCTTTGGGCAAACCCCGCATGTCCGATCCGACGCGTCTCCGCCTTGACCTGCGCGCGTCTTCCTTTTGCCGAGCCATACCCAGTCTTTATTGATAAACCATCTGCCTTATTCGCATACCACACAGACTAGCCTGTTAACCGTGACAGCTCGATTCATTTTCCTTCTCACCCATAATCTACATGGCTCAGGCAGAATCTTCAGCTAGCGCTGCCCGCAATGGACTCAAACCCCATACGGCCGGCGCTCCTCCCGACTACGAGCTCCCTTGGTATGACGCCGCCACGATGACCAAGGGACCAAGGAACTAATATTGTGTCGCAGGGTTGAGAAGTACCGCCCGATCTTCCTAGATGATATTGTGGGCAACACCGAAACGGTTGAACGATTGAAGATTATCGCCAAAGATGGGAATATGCCACACGTTATAATTTCTGGCATGCCTGGTATCGGAAAGACAACCTCGATTCTGTGCTTGGCAAGGCAATTGCTGGGAGATGCATACAAGGAGGCTGTGCTTGAGCTGAACGCCAGTGATGAAAGAGGTATGCCCACCTCTGAGCGGCGGCCTGCACAATTTTTGACATTTCTCATTAGGTATTGATGTTGTGCGCAACCGGATCAAGGGCTTCGCCCAGAAGAAAGTCACCCTGCCTCCTGGCCGTCACAAGATAGTGATCTTGGACGAGGCAGATAGGTACGAGCCCGTGATTCACCTCAAACGCAGCTCCTCGCCATTAACGGACAGTATATAGTATGACGTCTGGTGCCCAACAAGCGCTACGACGTACCATGGAGATCTACTCGTCTACAACTCGATTCGCCTTTGCATGCAATCAATCGAACAAGATTATCGAGCCCATTCAATCCCGATGTGCCATCCTTCGTTATGCCCGGTTGACAGACGGCCAGGTCGTGAAGCGGTTGAAACAGGTGTGTGACGCCGAGCAGGTGGAACATAACGAGGAAGGAATTGCTGCATTGGTATTCAGCGCAGAGGGAGACATGCGGCAAGCCATTAACAACCTCCAAAGTACATGGTCAGGGTTTGGCTTTGTCAGCGGGGACAATGTCTTCAGGGTGGTCGATAGCCCACACCCCATCAAGGTTCAAGCCATGATCAAAGCCTGCTGGGAAGGGAAGGTGGACGTTGCTCTCGACACACTCAACGAGCTGTGGTATGTCTCTTCCTAGGCCTATCACCGACATCGCGCTGTGATACTAACGAGTATGTCAGGGACCTGGGATATTCTTCACATGATATCATCAGCACTATGTTCCGAGTAACCAAGACCATTCCCTCTCTGTCAGAACATTCCAAGCTCGAGTTCATTCGTGAGATTGGTTTTACACACATGCGCATCCTGGACGGTGTACAATCCGTGCTGCAGCTAAGCGGTTGCGTCTCTAAGCTTTGCAAGATCAACATGAAACCCCAGCTTTTTGAGCCACCGAGGAGCTGAAAGCTCGGGTTTTACTGCCGAAGAATTGCATTTAAGTGGCGTTAGTGGCATCAGTGTAGGATATTGTGGCAGGTTCATTCATCAGTTATCTAGCATTTCACTTCAAAAGAGGTCCGGATTATATACAATGTCAGGGTACTAGCTGAAGGAACTACTCTTTGGCTGCAGTTGATTCAATACTTCCTGGGAGAGCGCAGTGGTCTCATGCAGTCAGGTTTTCGTCAAGCCTGCTTTAGAGGCATGGGAGCTTCAGGCATTCTTGCCCCTTCGGGTGGCTTGTTCTTGCTCTTGAACTCGTCGCACATTTGCTCGAATGTCACCCATTCTACGCCTTCGTGCTTGTTGATATGCTCAATGATTCTGTCATTGTTAGCGCCCAGCTGCAAAGCTACGACTGAGACATAGAACCGCGCCAACTCACCTCTCATGCATTAGGAGCACATGCGGACGTCCAGACACATCGGGATGTATGGTCATCGGGAAAACAAACTCGTCGTACTCGCGGTAGAAGTAGTCAAAGTGATCCTAGATCGTCACGGGTCATCAGCTCAGCTCATGTCAAAGACAAGGAACTTTAGCACACCAACCTTCCAGATGTCCTCAATGTCTCTTGGATTCACCCATCCATGGCTGTTCGGTGCCGATTTGATGAACATCATCGGCGGCAAGTCATCGATGTACCAATTTCCGGGGATCTCGACAAGTCCTGTATCCTGGCCCCGGACGAGGGGCTTCATCCACGTCTCAGCCTTCTGCTTATAGTCGATCTTAGTCCACGAGTCGCCTGTTCGCAGCCAGTACATCTGGCAATCATGATGAGACATGGAATGATCGTACTCGATTCCATAGGAAAGCAGCAGATCAGCCATTTCTTTGCTCGTTTCCCACCATGGAGCAACGATGCCTCGTGGCGGCTTGCCGCAGAAATTATATATCATATGGTAGGTCTTGTCCAGGATGTCACGCTGTTGCTCGATAGTCATGTCGGTTGGGTTCTCGTGGCTATATCCGTGGAGACCGATCTCGTGGCCCTGATCGCGGACCATGGCGCACTCTTCCGGAAAGGTCTCAAGCGAATGACCGGGGATGAACCATGTCGCTTTGATGCCATACTTCTCGAATAGCTTCAGCAGTCGCGTTGTGCCGATATGGCCGGCAAAGAGGCCTGGGAAACCGTCCTGATCAGCAGAGCTTTGGTGGGAAGAAGATAGAACAGAGGGTCAAGTGGCCACTACCACTGTTCTTGCTGGAGAGACTGATAATGTCGGTTTCCTACCTCGACTGATGTCATTGGAACTGTCCTCTCCGCCATATGACCCCAGCCATCCGGCTACAGCGTCGATATCTACTCCGTAGCTGACCAAAACACGCTTCTTGCCCATTGCGCTATGTTGCTGGATGATGGTCTGAAATGATGGGAGGTATGTTTGGGGATAAGGAAAGAACGAGCTGCGAACTTAAATCATTCGCGCTTCAATCTTATCGTTTGCTGCGCATGGCGGACGGACCTGCCGCTAAGAGTGGGGAGGAAGAGGGGAAGCTTCGAAGACACGGAGATAGGATGATGATAAGTGCCTCTGATAAGGCCCGGGAGATAAGCCCAGCAAACGCTCTTTCGGTAAACGGGGCCAGGTTCGAGTCGGATCTGGTCAGATCACTTATATTCGAGTCACTTACTTCCTAATTAACCTCTCGACCAAGCTCAACTCACATCATTGAGCCAACTTGTCAAGGGTCAGGACCTCATGAACGTTACCTAGACACGATGTATCCTCCGACGTCCTTGATCATTAGTTACGAGTTACTCTTACTTCCTGGATTTCTACCCCAAATCCCCTTCCCAGGCCGCCTCCAACTCGTGCCGAACCTGACCCCAACTGCCCCAATAGCTACGACGCTAAATTGGAGGCGGGTGCAGATAAAAGGTGGGGGTTGACATGATCTGACCGGCAAAGAAATATTAACTAACTACTCCGTAGTTGATTAGACTATTGAGCAATCACAATGAGTGTCCGTATGCAGAATTACCATGTCATGGTATGGATCATGCTCCTTCAGCGATAGCACATGCTTTCTTCCAAAGGATTTCAATGGCACTCGCTGCGCCTAGTACCACCTCCTCTTCCAGTTTCCTGCCAATCACCTGGAGACTAACTGGATGACCATCCATGGCCCTAGCATCGTACAATTGCCAGTTCCATGCATCAAGCTCGTTCCTTGGCTGATAGTCGGCCGGTAGCTCATCCCGGTCCGCCCTGACTCGATCTACAGGGAATGTGACGGCAGGATAGTCGAGAAAGTTCCAGATCTTTGTGTAACCAACCCACCGTATACTCCGGTGGGGAATGGCTGGATGAGGTGTCGTTGGAGCCAGAAGTATGTCAACGTGCTTACCCGAGGGAGAGAGGGTCGCGTTCCACTTGTTGAGATATCGCTCTTGTAGAGCAACCTTTCTCTTGTTGAGCTGCCAATACTCATAGACAGAGACAGCCTTGCCGCGGTTGACGAGCGCTTCAACGTGGGGCATATAAGGCTCCCCCGCCGCATCGACATCGCGACGGACGTCTTCACCTCCATCAACAGTGTAGAATAAGTCCATGAGGCGGATACACTCCAGATGGTCCGACGCGTCCCATGTCACTATGTCGTGACCGTGCGCCTTTAACACAGTAGAAAGCTCACGGAGAGCTCGTGCGATGGGCGGATGGACCCTCACGACCATATCATCCACGACCAGGCCAATAGTCATAGGTCGACTTTGGATTTCTTGGAAAGCGTTCTCGTTCCAAGGAAGCGGTGGGCATTTCGGATCAAACAACCATGGCTTAGCATCGATTAAGGCTCGACTTACATAGCAGAGTGACGATAGGTCCCTCCCCATGGGACCAACAGATGAAGGAACGTGCTCCTGTCCTTCAGTTGAAACGGGAACTCCGTGGTAAGGAAGCCTGCTACTCTGGTGCGGAGTTAGTCTTCAACTTTGCTATGGCTTCGAGATCCGGCCTTACACTGGGTTTCAAGCCATACAGTCCCATGAGACTCTGCGGGATTCTGATGCTCCCACCGATGTCTGTTCCAAACCCTAAGAGAGAACCGCGCAGTGCCAAAAGCGCAGCTTCT